TCCTGCTGATGACTTTTCATTGCTGGCATCCCTGAAGAGAAGATGCCCGCCCTAGGGTTGTTGTCCCACATATTACTGACACAAGAGCATAGAGTAACATGACATTTTCAGGAATGTATGCTGCATACCTGATAATCTCTCAGCCTAATACAGTGTTATTGCTCCATTCCAACCTCAGTTATGCCTCTGCGACTTACGCTGAAGCAATGGGCGTTCATCCTTCTGCCTGCTGCCCTCTGTACAACGCAAATAACACTGGGGAGTTGTACAGGGACATGCAATGACCGTTTCTTATTTCTGACCAATAATTAAAAGCTTTCACAAAAACAGAATGGATGACTGGCCCTGGAGAACTTGCATTCTGATATAGACTAAGATCCCCCTGATGAGGCAATCACTGAACTTCAAGAGTCCACACAGTGATGCTTCTTCTCTTTTTTTTTTTACATTCTTTCCCTTCTTGCAGAAGCACTGGAGAGCACGCTGACCTGATGGGAGCAATGCTGGTTTTAAGAGAGAGGTGGTTGTTGGCCAGCCAGCAGCAAGAATCTGCAGAACATCCTGAAGAAAACTGGATCTGTCTAGCTTAAATTGAGCATTTGCTGTTCAACAGGCTTTCTTACAGGCTGGGAAAACAGGCCAGCACTTCAGTATTTAGTGAATAATCTTGCTTTCCCTGTGGCGAGTCACAGGCAAGGCCTGTCACAGAATCTGAAGTAGGAAGATAATTCCTCCTCCACAAGGGCATGCTCTTGTCCTTTAGACGTGTATCTAGAGCTGACTGTGACCATCAAAACCACCTTGCTCATAATAAATTGGAGAGCAGTAGCTGAGGCTGACACAGAAGGGCCAATCCCGTGTGTTTTCCTGAAAAGTCAGCAGGGGCTTCAGAGCTTTTGGCAGGGTTTTCTCAGCACTGCTCCTCATGTGGTGGGGACTTTCGTCCTCATAGAAGGAGGCTATCTTCTCATTAGGTGAAAACCAGCAGCAACTACAATGAACCTGCAAGGAAACGGACTCTTTCACCTCTACCACCGGCTCCTACAATGATAATCACAAGAACTGCATAGGAATGATTTTCCCAGCCAGAAGAGCACCAAGGGAAAATCACTGATGGTTCAGCTGCCAGGGAAAGCTCCCATTGTTCATAGTATTTTCAGGACACGTTGTTTTCAGCTGGAAAGCCGTTGTATGTTGTTCATTTTGGTTTCTCCTGTTTTATTGGTTTAACCCTCTTTGATCGAAAACAACTGAACTGTCTCCCAAACGTATGGAAATCCTGGCAAAGGTGAAAACTCCAAGTGGCTTATTGTTTCAATGAAAGAAGATAATATAAAGTTCTCTTCCCCTTTGAGCTCAAGTGCTTCAACTTTTCTGTTGAGGCTCTATGGAACATTAATTTCCATAAAGGTCTTTTTTTTAGCTAATGCATACATATAAAAGCAAGCTCTACTGTGGCACTCCAGATCTGTATGGCTGTATTAGAAAATTAACATTCTGGTTGTATTGCAAGATTATGTATGCTGATATTCCACACGGAACAGATTACTACTGATTATGAGCAACAGCCTGTCCTCAGGAATCTAAGCCTTGCACAGCAGTAACCACAGAGGCTCAGGGAAATTGCTCCCTATTGGGAAGCTCTGGCTATAAGGCTGTCTGTAAATAGAACCCCATTGTCCCTAGTTCTGGGTTTATTCCACTGATGCTTGCTGCAGAGGAAACACATTTCTTTGTACCCAGAGGCAACAGGTTACTGAAGCTGTGACACCTCAGAAGTAAGAGAAGCTCCACTTCCAAATGCTGTCCTTGAGGATAAAAGCTGTTGTGTTTCTACTGCAGGGCAGATACCAGTACATTGCAAGGCAGAACCATGACAGGGATGATAGACTGTGGAAGTTGCAGGATGCTTTTCAGTGTCCTGTGGAACCCTAGAAAACCTTTTTCAAATTCAGACGCCTGATAAGTTCACACCCATGTTAGGAAGGGAACTCCTCTCCGCCACAGCTCTCCTGATGGCAACAGAATTACACCAGAAATGAATACGAATGAGAGTGTTTTTTGTTTCAGTTCTAAGGAATTGGATTTACACAATAAGCAAAGAGAGGTTAGATGCTAGATTCCTCCTGAAACTCCTTCTGCTGGTTTGAAGACTGGCATTGCTCCAGACAGCACAGATGATGCAGGCAGTTTCTATAGTATGGATACTATAGAAATAAAAGTTTCTTTGAGACAATTATCAGCAGGAGATAGCTTGTGTTTGAAACGTCCTCTTCTGATCTCACACAGCATATGTCTCTGTGGAGCTGAGAAAGGCTGTCAGGGAAGATCTCCTTTTCCAAAAGGCATGCCTGAGCCTGGCTTCTCAAGCAGATCTTTCTGTCAGTCACAGGCCCAGCCTTTCAAAGCTCTACAGCTTTTTATAAGAACAGAAAGAACAGCCAGCAATTCCAAGTTATCTTCAACAGAAATGCTTTTTCTTTTGGTCTCCTGAGTACTTTTGTTCCTTTTATCTTGGGTGCATTCTGGTGGCAAGGTCAGCCTGTAACCATGGTGGTGGTGCTGGGGTGGTTAAATGCCCTAGCAGCCTGATGCCACTAAATAAATAAATATATTACCTTTGACTTGAAATCTCCCTTTTGCTTCAGTCATGTCTGGTTGCAGCCTGCCCAGAGCAGTCTCTGCCCTCTGGGGAAAAATGTGTTTATAGCAAGGCAATGGGAACTCATGTCCACTAGCTGATTTTAGCAGGCTGGTAAAAATGAAGACTCATCTGCAATAGATGAAACTCAACAACTGAACAAAAAACTTGTCTAGTCATTTCAACTGAAAACACAAAATCCAGAGGGCAGATGACTGCTCAAGAGTCCAGGCCTAATCTTCAACTAGGGTAAATCAGGGTGGCATGACTATAATTACTAACGCTTACTCAAAGTCACTGGATGGGGAACTTATCTCAAAAGCACAGCTGACTTCCCACATGAAGCATCTCTATTCTTGAACACTGAGCCAAATTCTGATTCCCTCAGTCAGGTTCCAGGAAAATAAAATACTCCTGAGGGCTTAGGGAGAAGAAAAGGACTTCATGCTTCTTGAAACCAGGAAAGCTGGTTTCTCTCTCTGCCCGAGTGTGTGATGCAGTAACAAAACAAACCAGAAAGGATTCCAAAACTCAGAATCAAAGGCAGATCCGAATTTACCCACAACTAAGGAATGTGCAGCTCCACAAGTTTGAAACAGACATTTTACAAAAGCAGGAAGCACTGGCAAAATTTGTATCTCGCTCCAGAATTTCCAATACAATGATACAGCCATTCATTTTCCTGAATGAAGGAGTCTATCCATCTCTTAGAGATGAAAAGCAATCTGAGTGGGGCCTTGAGGATCTTAACTGTCCTTGGGTAAGGGATAAAAACCCCCTTTGATTCCCCTACTATACATCACCCATTTTCAAACAAAGTGGAAAGTGGCAAGGAAACTGTTTATCTCCCTGAGTCTTACATGTCCTGCTCTAGTGTAACTTAGGGCTCTTTTTTAACATTTACTACATGGGAAGAAGAAATGACTCTTTTCCTGTCATTTTCCTATGTTGTCTTCTCTAAAATGTGTTGGATGTAGCCATCACTCCTCCTAATGTCAGGAGTATAGTGATCACGGTGCAGACCACGGTACTGCCATTCTTTTGTTGGCACATCGTGCTATTTTAAGTACACCATTCTAAGTCTTGATTATGTTTAGAGCTGGGTTTGGCTTCAGCTCTCCTGGCCACATTCCAGCTAACATAATTATGTTCTGCTTGCCAAAATTCCCCATGCAGTTTCAGTGCAAAACAAGCCATCCCTCACACATCTCCTTAAGCACTTGTGCCCTTTGTTTCTAAAACACCTGTCACATTTTACCCTGAAGGTGGCTCAAGTCTCACACTGTGAAAACAATCCCTGTATTTACAGTGCATCAAGTGCTTTAGGATCCTTTGGGATTAAGGACATTAAATGAATGTAAGCTATAATATTAAAAATATATGCAACTTAATAGTAATAGCTGTCATTGTTGTTGGCACTATGTAGCACCAGTGGACCCATTGTGCTGGGAACCATAACTGCAGAATAGAGATCGTTCTCCAAATTGGATCCAGCTGGAAGAATTGGTCATATATCCAGCTGCTCCTTCCTGTAATGCAACAAGAGCATGAGCAACTTGGTGGGGATACTAAAGGGAGGGCTACAACTGTCTCAGCAGCATGAACAGATCTAGCCTGGTTCCTTCAGAAAGGAGTTCATAATCTAAACTAAAATGACAGGCTCAGCAGGTAGGCAACAGCAGGCAGGTGAAGTAAAGCTATCACAAATAATTTGTCCCGGGGTTTGTAAGTCACTGGCTGACAGTACAGGAGAGCAGATTGAATTTACAATTCCACGTATCACATTTTGTCATGCAGATAAGGTCTCTTCCTCTTCAGTTTGTTGTGGAGAGTGCCAAGGGCGTGTGCGGGAGATACAATCAAGGTTTACAAAGTTATGCAAGTGACAGATAAGCTGAATGTGGGACTGTTGATCACCCAATCTCACAGTATTAGAAGGAAAGGACACTGACTGAAAATAGTAGTAGATCAGCTTAAAACAGATATAAGAAAGTACTTGTCTACACAGCAGGTAGTGAACTTCTGAAACTTGTTGCTACAGGAGATTGTAAGAGCAGACAGCCTCAGTGGGTTCAGATAAATCCATGGACGATAGGTCCATAAATAGGCACTACAGGCAAAAAGCACAAGTGTGGCCTCTAACATCTCTAACCCAATAAGCATAAAATTGAGGGCAGTAAAAGGGGACTGGAAAGTAGGAAATGGCCAGGCTAGTGCACTTGCCCTGCTGTCAGTGTCAGGACTTGAACAGTGGGCCAGCTGGACCACAGCTCTGACAAAACGGAGCATTTCTTATGTACTTATGATTAGCATTTGACCAACACTGAAGGTCTCAAGGTATGCCCAAGGACAGGACTGAGCCTCAAAATACTCCAGTATGGTACAAGCTGTAGCGCTGATATGCTCAGCCCATTTTTCAAGGAAATTTGGATGGACTAACATATTCCCCCACACCATAAAGCCCATTCTTGTTCAGGTCATGCAAAAGGGAAGGACCCCTCTTGTCTACTCGTGCTCCCTGACGCTTAAAAATATACTATGTAATATGGTCCTACCTCACACATTGTTGAGTATCTCCATTAATATAATGGTGCCCTTTCAAGGATACATTACTCCCTCCTAGCTGATGCATTTCTTTGTCACTAGAGTACTGTGTTCAGCATTTGAAGGGCGTAATTCAGGCTGCAGGATGGGAGTTACCATTCCTGTATTTCTATTACAAGACACTATAAAGTGTAAAAGCATCATCAGAGAAATTAAAATAGACCACCCTTTTCCACTCTTTGGTCTACATATACTGGATTTGATTATCTATGACCAAAGAGGAATTTTAAAATAAAAACACTGTTATCCACCAGTTCTTCTTTTAGCTATTATGCAAAATCAGAACTGCTTATCCTGGGAATTCCATGCTTTATTTACATCTATGTAAATCCAGAGGCTCTCTACTAATGTCCAGAGTGAGCTTACACTGCAATTAAGATAAGAACTGGGATCAATAGATCTTCTGCACCCTTTCCTTTCGCCCATTGTGGGGTTTTCTTCCCCTTAAAGAGCATGACATTTGCCCTGGCTTTAACCCCCCAAGCTCAGTCCCACCCCTACATAGGTATATCTGTGTGTATGTACTCACGCTAGCCTAGCACCGCAGTTTTCGCCTTCAATATCTGCTCCAGGGACGTTGTCTGTGTTCACGGACTCCGTCTCACTGGTGGGCATGCTCACTGTAAGAGTCAAAGGGAAGAAAAAGATAAGGTTGGCCATTAGAACCTGGAACATCTATTAATGAATCATATGAGTGAAGGAACTGGCTTAATGAAAAGACCCTCAGCTGCAGCTCCTGAGGATTAAGCAATTTGCTGAGCAAGTCTAGTGCCTCCCTGCACAGGCCAGGCTGGGCAGGCAGGCTGCAGGAACACACACGGGTTACTCAAATGCTAAAGAAAAGGGAAGAAGCAGCTGCTCTCTTTCAGAGTCAGTTCCTGGAAATTTTATGAATGAAAACCATTGAAAATTAGAGAACCTGGCAAATCCAACACAGAAGCTTTTGCTTGATCCAATGGAACAGTTAAAAAAAAACAGTTAAAAAAATGCCCCTTTACTTGCACCAGCCCAACCACCTCACTGCCCTCCCCAGTCTCTTGTGCCATGAGTAGAGCGCAAATGAAAAGTACCAGATTAACAGGCATTCAGACCAACAGCTTCTGTTCGCCTGATAGCATGTACCACATAAATGATATCATATACTGTCATACACTAACCATTAATGTGTTTCAACCTTACACTTATAAACTGTACCTATAGGGATAAGAGGAGAATTCAGACTCTCTGACCCACTCAGCTATCACCAACAAAGGATCTAATGAATATGGACTATGGTGGAGATCGTATGTTGACACCCACCAACTAAGAACTGGACAGAATCTCCTAAGGTTTTACAGAAGTATCATGAAACAAACATCAAAGGAAAGCAACCTTAGGTAGGAACCTCCCTCATCTGGATTCAAGCACCTGTCACATCTTTTATCTGTTAAGCCTCAATAATTTATTTGCTTCTACAGATAATAAAAAACAATAAAATCACAATTTCCATTCCACTAGTTGCTCCCAGCTCCTATATGACCTCTAAAAATTCCTTAACATATAATAATTCAAGAGAAGTTAGGACAATGGATAGGATCCAATGTGCGTCCTCTTCCCTCCTCTCCCCTTTTCAAAAATGATACTTCAAACGGAATGATGGAGGAGTTAAACAAATCTCTCAGATGCCTAGTTGAACTTCAGAACATGACCTGTATTAACAATTGGATATATATCTCAGATGAGATTTGACAGCATGCACTATTAGCTGTTGGAGAGGCTTCTAACAGCCTGTAAGAATATGTTATTCAGTACTAAGAATATATCTATTTGTGGGTCCTTGGCACAAAGGGAGGCAATGTAGAATAAACAGGTTCCACATTTCAGTTGGGCAGATGTTTAACGGGCCATGGGACCAAGTCTTCTGTAAGAGGCTAGAAAGGTATCAGAAAATTCTTCTAAATAGATCCCGGGTTCCTGCTTTAAAAGCATTATGGTAGAACTGTCCCTCAAAATGAACTATCTTTCCTCTGTCCATCCCAACAATTCACATGCCTACAACATATGTCTTGGGAAATCTAAAGTTCTTGTCCTGTGTCCTTAGGACCATATGAAATAACAGACTCTCTAGTACTCTTGATATAACTATGAAATATTGTACTCTCATGGTGCCTGTTCCTTTACAAAGACTAGATGTTTTAGTAATCTTGTCTGTTTGGAAAGACAAATTAAGGAATCAACTGAATTCGTATTTTGACGCGCATGAAACAGTCAAGTAAGCTGTAAGAAAAAATAACATTCATAAACAAAATTTTTGGTCCACACTAATCCCTTCAGAAAAAAAAAACATTGATATTTCGCGAGTCATCCTTGAAGATGAGGCAAAGCACTTACATGACATATTTGAGCTTATTTGCAAATGGAAAACAATTTTGAAGACATTAGCAAGAGACTGATTTGCAGAGCAGGTTATTATCTTGAGTGCATGAAGAGGACACTGCACAAGCAATCGAAAAAAGCAAGGCACACACATGCAGAAGAATATAAAGCTATATTATATGTCAGTCTGAGACATATAGACAGACACACACAAGTATACGCAGAGTGGACACAAAGTGCAACGGAACATTACCATGGGTTTCTGTGGAGCGACTAAACCAAGCAAACTTTCCTTTCTTCTTATCAGGCAAGCCAGCTGGAGTGCTTCCTTTCACAGATAAGATGGTCAGTGTCAAGTACCAGGAACAAGACATCAATAGAGAACATGCAGCCAGTGACAGGCGAAAGAAAAAAACAAGGAACTCAGCTTACACATGACATCCACTTCTGTCTGAAAACTTCATCATGTGAATTACAAGTACAAAATTAAAAACAAAGGTATACGGAAGTATGAAATACTATAACAGATCATCAGAGGATAATTCTTCCTTGCTTTCTGCTCCTTTTTGTCTGACTTCTGAGAACATGAAGTTATTGAATTTAAGTTTATGGGTAAAATCCTTTCTCCAGTCATATCAACGGCAAAATTCATCGTGTTTGACTGTCTGACCTATTGAAATCTATGAGACTAAGGCAAGCGCATTTGTCCCCAGGTTATCTCCCGAACCTTTGGGTCAGAAGCTGGACTAGCCAGTTTTCAAATGAGGTTCTTTGGCTTTCTTCCTAAACTGCTCCAATATCTAGAAACTCTTTCAACACTGTCAGAGCTGCTAAAGGAAAGTTGTTGGGGTAATCACATTTCTCTGTCTTTCTCCATCCCTAGAGATTAACAACCGTCATCAAGCACTCAGATGTACACTGCCTTAGCCAGATAGGATACCCCTAGACTGTGTCTCACGATTTCCATTTGAGTTTACATCTGGCACTTCCCCTCGGATGTCCTCCTGCTGCATGGCTTTTCACGGCTTTAGTTCATGTTGATCCTCTGCCTGTCACGCGCAAAGGCCCTCAGCCCACACAGATCAGGTACGCATGCACACAGAAGTTTTAGAGCATACTTCACACTTCACTAATCTTACTGCTGCGGAAAGCCAAATGGAAGTGAGGGATGAAAGTGCAGTGGCACATGGGCTGAAGAGACTCCTGTGGTTCAGGCTAGGTTGCTGGCACTAGCTCACAGGCATTCATTACACTGCACTGATGGAAAATGTAAGGACAATAAAAAGTACTAATATGGTATAAAGTATAAGAGGAATGATGGCCTAGAAGTTAAAGGTCAGGACAGACAGGAGATTAGGACTGTATTGCCCAATGCTCTCAGCAGGGCAATCAGTTATTTTACCTGACACCTCACATCACCTTTGATATCGGGGATAATCATGTGTGTAGATGCTGTGAGGTTCAAGCCAGTCAACAAATCCACAAAACAGAAGATGCTGCAGAGGAGGCGTGTATAAACTGGGGCTGAATATGAGAGGAAGTAAGTCAAATACTGCCCAGATGACTTCATTGACTCAATTCTGAGACACACAGACCTTGTGCCCACACCCCTGCTCCAGTCCAGAAACAAGGCAGGCATTTTTTGCAGTCCGGGTAATTAATTACTGGAACTATGTACCAAGAATGCTGGTTGTAAATCCACCACAGGAGTGTTTTAATAAGGAAGATATGTTTCTTTCTAAATGGTGGGCTCTAGTCCAGACCAGAGTCACGTTTAGGACCAAGGTATACAGATCATGCCATCTCACTGGCCACTTCCTCCTTGCAATTTTCGGAGCGAAGACAAAAGCAAAAAGAGGCAAATGCAGATTTCCTCCCACCTGGGCACAGAGCAACTCAGCAGGGGAAATCCTGGTGCCTCGCATCCTGTACCAGGTGCGTTCAGTGACTTAGGCACTGTTACAAGAGAGGTTCTCTGTCATCTTTAAGAAATCCACTGCTTGTAACCAAATCAGAGATCCCCAGGCGGCTCGGTTCTGCCAGATGTAGAGGACACGTTGTCATTCTGTAGGCCCCCCACCTCCCGGCCTTCAAGCAGACCATTAAATCCTCCATCTACCACAGACTTTGCATCGAAGGCGCTTCAGTGTCCAAACTGCAGCATGGGCAAGGCAGTGATCGATCCCTGTGCACAGTATTCAACTGCCCATCTAAAGCCCTAAGGTATTAGGTCAAGCAACTGAACACCGACGTTGTATATAGGTGACTTCTTGACAGTAGAGAACAACTCTGCCCCATCACCCCTCCATCCTAAGTGACAGCAGGCTGTTAAAGGGCTGAGAAGACATTTTCATCAGGCAGTTTACCTTTGCTGGATGACACCAGCAGCAGCAGTGCAGCTAACAGGGCAATGAGAACACAGAGTTGGAAGGAAATTTTAAAGATCATCTAGTCCACCCCCCGCCACAGGCAGGGACATCTGTCACTTGATCAGGCTCCTCAAAGCCCTGTCCAACCTGACCTTGAACACTTCTGGTGATGGGGCATCCAACTTCTCTGGCCAACCTGTTCCAGTGTAGCTGTTCCTGGTGCAAATCATGGTAGCTTTGCTTACAGGGCAGTCTCTTTTTTTGGATTTATCATCACATCAATAACTCACTCTAGTCGATGAAATCTCCCATTAGTTACAAATTCTCTAGGTAGCATAGCAATTATTTTAAAGGGAAGTGAAACAATGTTTTAAAGGCATACAATGATCTCGTGGTTTCAACAGAGTGCAAACCATAAGGACCAGCAGGTTTTATACTCTCTCTACAGTTGCTTCTGAAGCCTTTGCACTTCTCGTATCTGGTCACTGTGTGGCTTATCTCTGAATATAGCCTTTTCCTCCTGGACTACCTAAACTCTAATTTCACATTACTTACATAGCATTATTGCAGCAACTAAAGCAACAACAAAAGCTGTGTAGCAACTTCCTTAAAAATAAATCTGAGAAACTCTTCATGTTATGTTAATTCTGAGACCCAACAGACAGAAATCAGGACGACGAGTCTGCAGTCTGTGACTGGCTAGACAGACAGATGTGCGAGACCCTTTGAGAGCCTCTGTTCCATGTCACTGGCACCAAGCATTGACAGCAGCCCTACTCTTGCACTAACCTATGTCCCTCCTCCAACGAAACACCCCATGGACACGCAATGAATTATTAGATGGCAGGTTGCCAACAGACAGCCAACCACTGAAACAGAAAGCTGGCACAAGCAAA